CATCACGAGTCGCTTGAAAGCAAAGATGCAAGGAACACATGGCGGAAAATCTGCGAAAAGCTAAACGAGCGCGCAGAGATAAACAAAACCGTAGAGAAGTGCAAGRAGAAAATGGCGTATCTAATAGACAAGTACAAGAACGCAAAAGAATGGAATAAAAAGCAAACTGGCGGGCATAAGCGAAAAAGCCTTTTCTATGACGAAATCGATGCAATACTTGGCTGCAGGGATGTTGTCACGATGCACAAAGTGTCTGAGGCCGGGACAAGCTCGCCAACGCTGAACACCTCAAGCAGTAGCATTACGGATGACGATACAGAAGTCGTACCCGCAAAGAAGGAAGAGAAAGTGGCAGAAAAAAAAGCCAAGCGAAACGAAAGGAAGGGGAAAAAGAGGAGGGCCTACGAAAGCGATGAAGGAGATGAAGAGCGCAAGGTATTCAGCGAAAGCTTGAAGAGTTTTAAAGAAAGTGGAGAAAAACTAGGCACTTTCATGGACAATTTTGCTCAAGCACAGCAACAACAAACATTAATGATGAATCAGTTTCTTGGTGCAATGACACAGTTCATGAAAAAAGCTAGTGAGGAGAAACAAGACAAATCCTCATAATCAAATCGAACGTTTATTTTTTATCATGAYGCTGTTGTGATATTGAAGGTACAATTCTGATATGTATAATCAACATTTATTACTAATTTTTCACACTTTTTAYGGTTCCGTTTTCATCGAAACAAAACGCTTTGGTGTTTTATATATTTGAATATTTAGTATAGGAAAACATTTTGTATGTTTGAAAAGCTATATAAATGACTTTAGAATATCGCGGATCTCTTCGMCATCTTTTTCCACGTCGTCATTGTTATCATCCCCGTTATGATTTCCTGGCCCATTATCATCCCAGTTGTCACCCATTTTGATACAAAAGTTATGAAGGACTGCGCATGCTATTGAAATTTGCACATAAAATTCAATGTTGCTATCGAGGCGCTTAGACAAAATTCTCCAGCGCSATTTTAGGCATCCAAACGCACATTCGACTTTAACTCTAGCGCTAGAAAGTTCCTTATTAAATCTTATCTCTGATCTGTCTCTTGTTGCCTCTGKGTAAGGTTTTTGAATCCACGGGGAAAGGGGATATGCACTGTTTCCAACTAAATAGGGGCCAATGTCATGGTTATTCACGTCTACGACAGGAACAGTGAGAATATCTCCTTGTTCGGCCCTGCCATACAAAGTACTGTTCCGTAACACTCTTCCGTCGTGCATACTACCTGGATAGCCCGCAGAGAAATCCAAAAAGRGCAGATTTCCATCGGCAACACCTTGAATGATAAAATCATACTGCTGGTATCGGCTGAAGTAATCAACTTTACTTTCTTTAGGCGCATTTATTTTAACATGAGTGCCATCAATAGCCCCAACAATGTTAGGTAGGTCCGAATGGTCTGCAAATGTCTCTATAGAAGCTGCTGTTTCTGCTAATGTCTCAGGAAAATGAATGTATTCATTTCTGAGCTCAAATAAAGCTCCTACAACATCTTGAACAGCCTCAATAACAGTAGATTTACCGACATTGAACACAGGACCGATACTCACATAGGAATTCCCGTGTGCTAGCCGATAAAGTCCTATAGCTAGAACTTTTTCCGGAGGAATACAATCCCTCAGCCGTGTGTCTTCTCTGCGTATTCGCTGTTCCAAAATTCCTACCAGTGCCTGGAAAGTATTTCTGTTCATGCAGAGTTGTTTCCTAAAGTAATCTTCAGATATATTGCGGTCAAAAAAATGGATTTCAAACCATGATTCTGCCGGACGTGGAAGAGTCCAAGACCAAGGTGAACGGCGATGAATATTCTGTCTCAATCTTCGCCTTCTCATAATCATAGCCATCCTCATACGAGCTTGTTGGTGTTGCATGAGCACTAGCATTAGGGCCACAACCTGCTGTTGAGTTTGTAACTGGAAGTTCAGTAGAAATCCTACAGCTAATAATAATATATTTGTCACATCCATCT